CTTCATTCGTGTTCATTCAAGATTAAAACAACACGATGGTGAGTAATTAAATAATTAAATAAATTTTTGTGAGAACTAACCCTTTAAATATCCACAATTTGACATAGTAAACAACGAGAAAGTTGTGCATTTTAAAACGCACTAAACGTATCTGGAGTCTGTGAATTGGGTGTATGCAATAAGTGTTATGTCACCCGCAGCTTTCTAGTTTCCCCTGCCTAAAACAGACTGGGTGAAAATAAACCTGCTGTTAAAGACCTGAGCTGTGTGTGTGGCCTATCAGCAAGTCTGCGCTATTTTAAAAAAGCTCTTCTGAATGAAAGCTTCACCATCAGCGCCATTCCTGCTCCAATATAAGAAATGCTGTGGCAGAAAAGATCAGCGGTGATTTAATGATGACTGATTTAGTGGAGCTTTATCAACAAGTTCATTAATAATCGGACGCACTTTGTTGTGTCTAAAGATGTTCACTGTCCATCACCACTGGGATATGAGAGCAAAGGCCAGAGGCTGAAGGGTAAGAGGTCAGAGGTCGAAGGCCAAAAGGGTCATTACTCGCTGCTTAATTGGTGGATTACCCCAGCTGCATGCTCTACATACACATTGGGATTAGCTAAATATGAGATGCTACAGTTTTTACTAAAAAAGTATTTTTAAAAATAGCTAAAATAAAATTTGATGACTTGAATTAGTAAAATAGTAATAAATAAATATCATGTCTTACCAAATAAATACCAAAATAAATATAAATGCTTGAAATAGTTTGATTTAAAAAAAAAAAAAAAACATTTACAACACTGGAAACGTAATTAATTTTAGGAATTAATATCGAACTGTAATGCTTAATATTTAGTAAATATGATCCTTTACGCAAAATAAAATAGCTTTATAATTATTGCTACATGTTTTACCACTTTAATACTAAAGAAAATGGATATTTAGTTTTTAACACAATTTTTTAAATATGCTATTATTTTAAATTACAAATAATTAGTGATAACTATAAAATTTTACTACATAATGTTTAGTGTAATAACATATAATAAAATGTAATATAAAATAATAAAATAAATCAAAATAAAATAGAACTAAAAAATAAAATGTATATTTAGTTTTTAATAATGATTGTAATATGTTTTTACTGAATTAATAGTTAAGACAAATATATAAACTTACTGCATGTTTAGAAAATATGATTCTTACAATAAATTAATTAAATATTTAAGTAATAAATAAATAAATTAAATAATTAATGATAAATATACATTTCAACTGTTTAGAGAGTGAATATTGTATATTGAGTTGAAGTCAGAATTATTAGCCCCCTTTGATTTTTTTTTCTTTTTTTAAATATTTCCCAGATGATATTTAAGAGGGCATAGACATTTTCACAGTACGTCTGATTATAGTTTTTTTTCTAGATAAAGTCCTATTTGTTTTATTTCAGCTAGAATAAAAGCAGTTTTTAATTTTTAAACGCCAGTTTAAGGTCATTTTAAGCCCCTTTAGGATATATATTTATTTTGATAGTCTACAAAACAAACCATCATTAAACAATAACTTGCCTAATTACCCTAACCTGCCTAGTTAACCAAATTAACCTAGTTAAGCCTTTAAATGTCACTTTAAGCTGTATAAAAGTGTCTTGAAAAATATCTAGTCAAATATTATTTACTGTCATCATGGCAAAGATAAAATAAATCAGTTATTAGAAATGAGTTATTAAAACTTTTTTGTTTAGAAATGTGTTGAAAAAGATCTTTTCTCCATTAAACAGAAATTGGGGGGGAAATAAACAGGGGGAGCTAATAATTCAGGGGGGCTAAAAATTCTGACTTCGACTGTATAAATAATTTAAATAATAGTTATAATAATAATTAGTTAAGCAATTTAGCAGCATAATGTTTAAAGGTGTTTAATAACATATTATACAAAATAATAAAATAATCAAAATAAATTATAATTTAAGGAAAAACATTTTTTTAAGTAATAAAGGTTTTACTTCATAATGTTTAGAACATCTTTAATATTCGATATTTGAGCAATTATATTCACTTGGCATACTGTAAAATATTATCACAAGAATTATTAATAGAATATCAAATCATCATTTTAAAAAGCTGCTTCTATGTATTTACTTAAGATTTAAATTATTACTGCATGGCAAAAATGAACTTCTTTAAAGTCACACAGCCCTTCCAAAATCCTTCTATTATGCTAAAATGATGCTTAACAAATTTATATATATATTATTATCAATGCTAAAATTGGTTTTGTTCAATAACATTTTTATGAAATCTTAAAAAGCACGTTTACATGTAACAGAGATCTTTTGTAACATTATAAAGGTCTTCCCTGTCACTTAAACCCACGCTCCACATGAGCCGAAGCATGGGGCGTCAGGAAGCGTGTGACCCGTGTGTGTTTCTCCTTCAGACTGCATGTCTGCTCTGCACTGCTGATTTACTGCTCGACTGCAGTGTGTGTCGGACAGGCTTCAGCATGTGCTTTCTTACACTGATGTGACAGCCAAAGCCAGATAAATCAAAGTAATCCCTATAATCGTACCATAAAGAGGAAAAATCTTTGCTCATATATATAATGGAAACCTTTAGTTATCGTATGGTAATTTATTGCTGGTACAAAATGCAATTATAAAAGAGGAGCGCAAGCACAGACAAGCTGACGTGAACTAAAAAAATGATATCACTGCATCTGTAAAAAGGTCTAAAGGTTCATCTGATTCAGAACCAACTTCATTAGATTTTACATTTAATAATTTAGCAGCTGCCTTTGTCCAAAGCGACTTACAATTGAGGAGGCATTCAGCGATTTAGCAAGAAGAGGCAATGCACACAAGAAGTGCTAATTATACAAAGGAACTGATAGTGCTTAGACAATTAAGAGCAAGAGTAAAGGGGAGTGTTTGTTTTTTTTTTTGAGAGAAAAGTGTTTCTACAGGTGGTTTGTCAAGCCCACTCAACTGTGTGAGGCACACTTCATAAATTCACAATGTTTTTTTGAGAAATGGAGTGATTGTAAGAAAGTGTCTGGTGCAAATGTGCAAAACTAGTGCAAGTGTCAGTTAAAGAGATGAAGGAGTGTGTTTTCTACAGGTGGTTAGTCAAGCCCACTCGCCTGTGAGACACGCAGGATTGCATAATGTTTTGAGGTTGTCTTGTGATTTGGTGTGGTGGTCAGGAGAGAAGAGGCGTCCTGGTTAGAGTTTTTGAAGATGCTGCGTATTAAACCCGGGACCTCATACATGCAAATTATGCTCTGTTCCTCTGTGTGTTTTTATTTTGTTTAACTTTTGTGAATAAGTCATCCAGCTGTTTTTTTTTCTTTGCTGTAGCAAACCTACAGATGTTGTGAGATTTTAATTATTTTTCAAATACTTTCCAAAGTGATGTTTAAGAGAGAGAAGAATGTTTTTAATGTATTTTTAATGTAGTTTTAAAAACTTCTAATAACTGATTTATTTTGTCTTTGTCATGATTACTGTACATAATATATACTAGTGTTGAGCCGAAAGTGCACTTCAAAGGCTTAACTAGGTTAATTAGGTTGTCTAGACAAGTGGTTTGTTCTTTAGCGAAGGGAACTTCATATACTTTCTATAACTTCACACTTTATGTTTCAGAGTGTGCAAAATAAATCCACAGATTTACATTTAAAATCCATGCGAAATCAAAATGTGCATTGTTTATTTTGCTAAAGCACATAGTTATTCTTCATTTGAATAATTCATCTGTGTAAGTTGAAAAAAATGCTTAGGTAAACTTCAATTAAATTCTAATCATTTGCTTCCACATTCAAGATGTCCTTGTTGCAGTCGCGATGACGCACTGGACCATGTCCAATACATAGTGTGCATTGTATCGCCCACTAAGGTAATGACCATACTTCTGTGACGATTGGGTTCAGGGTAGAGGGAGGTGTAGGCAATTGTGCATTACGTAGTGGACCTGGTCCAGTAAGTAATCAAGCTGTGGGCTGCAGAAAGGACGGTCTCTACATTTGGAATTCTGTTGACATCAAACTGAGGGCTTCCATAGCAACTCTATAACAATATTCTTAACCATCCCTCTCTTACCATTAGTTTGCTATGAGAGAATGATGTGCTAAATAACGCCCTGCCCCTTTACTCAATAATCTGACTCAGTCAGAAGTCCAATAATAAAGTAAAAAATCTCAGCAACTTAACGTTGACGCAAACTTTAAAGAGGAACCTGTGTAATATCATGAAAGATGTTTGACTGAGACAATCCATACAAATATTAACTTTGCAATAAAGGACAAATTAGATTTTGGAATGGAGCATCTTATCTTATTTATTTTAAGTCCATATTTAAGCTTCAACACTCAGATAACATCTACATTCTGAAACCTGCTAAAAGATGTCCCTTTATCTTTCTACCACAGGGTATTTCTGTTCATTTTGGGTAGGATTTTGGTCATCACTAAGATGCTATTAGATTCGAATAAAACAATTTTAGATTTTCATTCCAGTCAGTTTTTGCTTCTTAGTCTTGAATTTGTAATGCATTTCTTACATTTGGGTGGCATTTATCCTCCAAGCTACAGATAATTGTTTAATTAAACAACCAATTAATAAAGACCTTCAAGTGTTATTTTAGTTTCACTGTAGTTTTAATGTATTTTTATAATTTAAGTGTTATGGTTTGTTTTTGTCATTTTAATTATTTTTCCTGGTATGTCTGTTTAAATTTTTATTCTATATTGCTTTTTTTTATTGAGTGAAACTATTTAGATGAGAAGTAATTTGTAGTTAAATAAACCAGGGTCTATATGTTTTATTTATTTTCCTTTGTTATTTATTTAATTTTCTTTTCTTTTATTTCAGTAAAACATCTACCATATTTCAACAAGTGACAGAAATATTAAAAAGAAAAGCCTATTTATATTTTAAGTGATTTTATAGCTTTATTTCATTAAAATAACCACATACAACCTCCTCCAAACCCCTGAAAAACACAGTCAAGCACATCTTCTTCAAATATGCTTCGATAAAAAAAACAAGTGTCAGTTTGAAGGAATTACCTGCACGATTGACGGCTATATCTAGCATTCACACGCGCTGACAGACTGGAGACTCTCTAGAGACAAATCCATCCATCCACTGAAGAATGCTAACAAATTACACACACTTCAATCAGTCTAAATCTCTGACAGCCTGTTTGTTCACGTCATTCGTTTTTTGTTTTTTTTTAAACACTATAAAATAAAAAAGTTCTACCAAGCCCACCTTTAGTTTTTCACCAAAACTCTATTGGAAACTCAATATCTAGCGTTACAAAAGCGTGACTGTCTACTTGAAAGGTCATTTTTAATAGTACTGTCTGGTCCGCAGGTGCATGAAACAGCTGTTCTCCACAATCACAGTGTGAAGTTTATATCAGATACAAGCAGGAAACCAGAGAGCCATTATGCTGAGAGCAGGTTAACATTATAAAGCAGAGCCGAACAGATGTGTTCCGACACGATAAAGCTACGCGCCGTTATCAGCAGACATTTATCCTCCATCCAAACGGCTTTAAAATCAAACTAAGCATGCTTTTATTTTATTCAGCCGCATTGTGTTACTCGTGACTTGCAGATGTGATAATGTTACACATAAAAAAAAGGTGTTGGCTTATCTGGCCAACTCTAACAAGTGTGACGTAAATGCAAACGGTGAGTTACTTCATATACGTGTTTAGTTTTTATTTATTTATTTGCAAATTGGAATTTTTTACATTGTGAAAGGAATTTATATTTTCATTACATTTAACCATAAATTCTTATTGTATGGTATTGTATTGTATTGTAATGTATTATATCGTATCATACCATATTGTATCTTTTATTTAAAGCCATGTTTATTTATCTTTTATTTAAAGCCATAAATCAAAAATTCTTATCATATCATAGTATATTGTATCGTATCGTATTGTATCGAATCATATTAAATCTTATTGCATTGTATAATGTCAGCTTCATTGGCTATTTTTGTGGCAAAATTTGTTTAGAACAATACAATACAGTTAATACAATTAAAAAAACTTTAAACAAACAAACACAAGTTATATTACATTGGCTTATCTGACCAATTCCAACAAGTATGACATAAATTTGAACAGTGAATTACTTCATATGTGTGTTTACTTTTTATGTATTTAGGAAATGTACATTTTTATATTACATATAACCATAAATTCTTATTGTATCATATTGTACTGTATTGTATTGTATTGTATCTTTTATTTAACGCCATGTTATAAATCATAAATTCTTTTTGTATTATATTCGTTTGTATCATATTGTATTTAATTGTATTATACCGTACCGTACCATATACAATACCAGACCATACCATATCGCATCGTATCGTATCAAATCTAATCAAATCACATTATATCTTATTGTATTGTATCAGCAAAAATTATTCAGAACAATGCAATATAGTAAATACAATAAAAAAATTTAAATAAACAAACACAATTTATATTACAACGGCTTATCTTACTAATTCTAGCAAGTATGTAAATGCGAACTATGACTTACATCATGACATGTACAGGTTTAGTTTTTATTTAATTGCATTTACGAAACTGGAACGTTTCACATTGTGAAATGAATTTAGATTTATATTCCATTTAACCATTAATTCTTATTGTATTATATTGAATTGTACCATATTACATTGTACCGTACTATACCATACCATACCGTACCATATCAAATCAAATAAAAATCAAATCAAATCAAATCAAATCAAGTCAAATCAATTCAAATTGTAGCACATCGTATTATATTATATCATATTATATCGTATCAACTTCATTGGCTATCTTCATGGCAAAAACTATTCAGAACAATTCAATATTCATTTATTTATTAATTTTCTTTTTCGACTTAGTCCCTTTATTATTCTGGGGTCGTCACAGCAAAATGAACCACCAACATATCTAGCATATATCTTTACGCAGCGGATGCCCTTCCAGCTGCAACCAATCACTGGGAAACACCCATAAACACTCATTCACACATGCATTACGGACACTTTAGCTTTCCCAATTCAACTCTACCACATGTCTTTGGACTTGTGGGGGAAACCGGAGCACCTGGAGGAAGCCCACGCCAACACGGGGAGAGCACGCAAACTCCACACAAAAATGCAAACTGACCCAGCCGAGGTCTTGATTGTGAGGCAATTGCACTACCCACTGCGCCACCGTGTTGCCAACAATACAATTTTTTAAATACAATTAAAAAAAACCTTTCAAATAAACAAACAAACACAAGTTATATTACATCGGCTTATTTGACCAATTCTAGCAAGTATGACGTAAATGTGAACGGTGAATTACTTCATGTACTTTTTTATATTTTTAATTATTTGCATTAACGTTGTAAAATTAATTAAAATTTACATTATATTTACCAATAAATTTTTATTGTAATATATTGAATTGTTTTAAGTTATGTACCTTATCGTATAGCATCATATTGTATCTTTTATTTAATGCCATGTCCTAAATCAAAAATTCTCATTGTATCATATTGTATCACATTATATTGTTTCGTACCATAACATACCATATCGTATCTTATCGTGTCATGTGTTGTATCATATCGTTTCGGCTTTATAGGCTATCTTCATGGCAAAAACTATTCAGAACAATCAATATAGTAAACACAATAAAAAAAAAAAAACATTCAAATAAGCAAAGAAAATGTTTATATTAGATTGGTTTATAAGGCAAATTCTAGCAAGTATGACATAAACGCGAACAGTGAATTACTTTATGTGCATGTTTACTTTTATTTAATTGTTTATATTTAGAATTACAGAAAACATGTTCCACATTGTAAAATAAATTTTATTTTATTTTATTTTATTGAATTTTATTTTAATTCAACCATAAATTCGTATTGTATTATATTGTATTGTATAGTATCGTATCATATCATATTGTACTGTATAGTATCGTAAATTGTATATTTTACTTAATACCATATTTAATACCATTTTATTTAATACCATGTTAAATCTTCTCAAATATAACGTAATGCATCTAATCAAATTGTATCATATCGTATCGCATCATATCGCATTGCATAGTATTGTATCGTATATAGCTTCATTAGCTATCTTGATGGCAAAAACAAACAAATACAAATTATATTACATTAGCTTATCTGACCACTTCTAGCAAGTTTACTTTTCATATATTTATTTTCAAATGCTTTCACCGTGGGGCATCATGGTGGTGCAGTGGGTAGCACAATTGCCTGACAGCAAGAAGGTCACTGGTTCGAGCCTCGGCTGGATCAACTGGCATTTCTGTGTGGAGTTTGCATTCGTGTTTGTGTGGGTTACCTCTGGGTGCTCCGGTTTCCCCCACAAGTCCAAAGACATGTGTTAAAGGTGAATTGGGTAAGCTAAATTGGCCGTAGTGTATGTATGTGAATGAGTATGTATCAATGTTTCCAAGTAATGGGTTGCAGATGGAAGGGTATCCGCTGCGAAAAACATATGCTGTATAAATTGGCATTTCATTCCGCTGTGGCGACCCCGGATTAAAAAAGGACTAAGCCGAAAAAGAATGAATGAATGAGCTTTCACCCTTTCATCTGGAATTTGAAGTGTGTTTTTGTTCGTTTTGGTGGCATTTTTGTCCGCATTGATTTCAGACAACAATCACTTAAGTGTTTTATTTTTAGTATTTATCATGAAAACTCTTATTCGGGCACTTTTATGTTACTCATGGCTTCTTTCTTACAAAGAAAACATTATATTATATTATATAGTAAACAATGAAAAGCCTTGTTGATGTTTGTCAGATTAACTGTCTTACAAGTATAACACACACACACACACACACAGTGAATTATTTTGAGTACGTGCAAAAATGTGTGTACCCAAAAGCACAGCACATCTTTTATGAGGGAATTTAAAAATAGAGAGAAATCTCTGTGTAAATACAGTAGGCGCTTAGTTCATCGGTTCATTGCGGCTCCAGCACTCATTACTGCTTATTGGTGCCATTGTTTTTTTTCTAATTAAAACACAATGCGCTGTTGTTTGTAATGCTGCAGAAGAGGGAGAGTTGAGGCCACAGACAGCTTGTTGTTTGTTCACATCAAAACATGATTTTTCTAGAAATAACAAGCATATTGAATATAGCATTATAAAGGAAATGAGATATAATTAAAATAGCATAGATATAGTGAGGTAAACTTGGACCCTAAATCAAGTAATTGTAAAAGCTTTTATGATACTTATTTTTTATCAAATAAATGAAATCTTAGTGAGCATGAGAGACTTCTTTTATTTATTGTAATTTATTTTAATACTATGTATTGTAAGTATTTGCATAAAATAAAGCAGACTTTTGCAAAATACAAATGTTTTTGCACAGTAAAGTTATTTTATAGTATTTTTAACCCCCACGTTAACTTTATTAGCATACATACATACATGTATATATATATATATTTTTTTTTTTTTTTTTTTTTTTTGCTTTATTTAATTAGTCATATTTTTATTTTCTAGTTACAAAAAGTAAGTATTTGCATAAAATACTGAATGTTTTGCACAGTACTATTAATTTTCATTTATATTATATGCAACACCAAAGAGCATAGAATCACCAAGAGGCGACACTCTAGTGCGGTTTGGGAAACAGCCACTAGATGGTGTGGCGGCCATTTTGGAATGAAAACTCTAATAGAACAACAGCATATTATAAGTCTGTAAAATAAACTATTAAAAGTGCTGATGATTGTGATAGTAAGTGCTGTATTGTCGTCTTTCAGGTTGTATCTCAGCTTTAATGCGCTTTTTAAATAAAAAGATAAAAAACAAAGCAGCTGCTTGCCATCGCGACAGCAATAAGATCCAATGGACAGCCGATCACTTTCACTCCAAAATGGCAGAATCCGGGGCTGTTGCTGGCCTCTTGGTCATTCTAAGCTCTTTAGTAAGGCCAAGGTGTCTAACAAAACGAAACGAAACAAAACAAAACGAAACAAAAAACAAAACACAAAACTAAACACAAAACAAAACAAAAAACAAAACAAAAAACACAAAACATAAAACATAAAACACAACACAAAACACAAAACAAAACAAACAAAACACAAAATAAAACACAAAACACAAAACAAAACAAAAAAACACAACACAAAACAAAAAGCTAAAAACTAAACAAAACTAAAAACACAAAACAAAACAAAACAAACAAAACACAAAACAAAACAAAAAGCTAAAAACTAAACAAAACTAAAAACACAAAACAAAACACAAAACTAAACACAAAACAACAAAACAAAACAAAAAACAAAACAAAAAACACAAAACACAACACAAAACAAAACAAAACAAAACAAACAAAACAAAACAAAACAAAACAAAACAAAACAAAACAAAACAAAACAAAACAAAAACAAAACAAAAAATAAGACACAAAACAACACAAAACAAACAAAACAAAACAAACAAAACAAAAAACACAAAACACAACAAAAAACACAAAACACAAAACACAAAATAAGACACAAAACAACACAAAACACACACACACACACAAAAAATTACAATTAGTCCTATAAATCTAAAAACAAAACCAAACTTGGAACTGATGTAAAGCACTGCTATTTTTAACAAGTATTGTAACTGTAATCTACAGATACAAATTGAAAAAAGTGCTATAAAAGAAACAATTAAATGTGCATTTTAGATGGTCTCTTTGCATCAGACTTAAAAACATGTTTTTAAAAAAGCCAAAAATGGACAGATGCATAAAAAGAATTGTTTTTGCAGTGCCTCTCTTGAAATATGCCAGTGGGTTTATTCCCATGCCACCGTGAGGCAATTGCTTTCATTTGCCATGGCAATAAAACCACACAGGACAACACAGAAACCCACAGGGTGGCCCTCGGGTGGGCTTTGCCACATGCCAGACACTCCCTTACAGGATCTGTCATTGAGCTGTAATGCATCTGGTTTTGTGTCTCCAGCGATCAGCCTGTAAGAACCAACAGCCAGATCTGTGCCATTGCTAACACTGGTGTGCTTACATTTGGATGCTCATGATTCGTGGGCAACACTTTAAATAGTAATACAATGTTTATAAAACTCATTTAAATAATAATTTACCACATCTAATGTCTCTAATGCTAAACAATCTGCATTTATTTCATTTATTTTCATTTTACACACAAGTAAAACACAAACTAAAATGGTGGAATTAAAATAAAAATCTTTTCATGTATTTTTACATTTTACATTTATTTTTGGACTTTAAACATAAACCAAAAAATACAAAATGATTTATATTATATTAATATTAATATTAATGATTTATTATATTAATATTAAATATATATATATATTTACTCAAAGAAAAAACTAACAAAGGTTTATAAAATGTTATTAAAATGCATGCCTGGAGAAATCCTGAAGGTTGCATTAGCAACATGCCAGACAAGCACAACTCTATAAACCAATGAAACGATCCTGACATAATGTGATTTTCCTGTTATTTACCAGATACTGCAGAGTCATTTTCGGCTGTGATCTCAGTGTATGATGCTTTGACAGCACCACAGACACACATGCAGAACATTGCGTTGCTAGGAGCCAAGATACCGTAACCATGGCAACAACATTAATGTTCTGCACAAATCTGAGTCAGAATTACGAAGTCAAAAACACGACAGCATAAGTGGATCATGCACAGATAATCACTCTTCACCAGCTCAATCTGCCTCTAGATCTGATAAAAGCATTCATAACAGCCAATTCTGTCAATCTTAAAGGTCCTGTCAAATTCAAATAATGTTTTTTTTTATGTTAGTCTCCAAATGTTCGTTAAGGATATCTATAAGGTAGTGTGCTGCAAAACAGTGACAAAATTCACATTTAAAAGATTTACAACTAATATAAACATCCAAATCTTGCAGTTTTTCACTTTCACCTAAAGGCCGGCTCACACTGTGCGATGTTTTTATAATCCTTAACAGTTTTAGCTTGTCAGACTGCATGAACATGGCTTCCATGTCACACTGTAAGATCTTAGCTGTCATACTGTCAGACTGAATGACAATGACGACGAGCCAAACATGGAAGAAAACTCCCTCAGAGTTTGACGTCATCCATCAATGACCCTTTCACTATCCCGTGTTCTGAAATGATTCCTCACAGCAAATGTAAACGATCTGTAGCGCCAATTTTGCGCACAGTGTGTCTCAAAATTAAAACCAAGAATAAAATTTTTTTTTTTTACATTTCCCTGTGGTCATTTAAATTGTTGCATGGATTGCGTCATCAGGTTTGGCGGTGCCAACACTCCTGTTTTTCCCTGGAAGTCTCCTGTATTTCAGACCCATCTACAGCCACCCTCCAGTTTTGTTATGTGTGTGTGTGTGTGTGTGTGTGTGTGTGTGTGTGTGTGTGTGTGTGTGTATATATATATATATATATATATATATATATATATATATATATATATATATATATACCTATATATACATAAACACACACACACATATAACATATATATATATATATATATGTTTCCATCCAAATGTTCCAATGTTTCCATCCAAAAATGCTAATTAACTTAATGTGCAAAACTAGATTAACGTATAAAAGTTGTTCGTAAAAAAAGCAGCAAATCAAACGAGTCATAGCAAACAAAATGTCACTTTCTGATTAACTGGCACCAAATATCAACAGTAAAAATGGAGTTTGCTCCGGTGGAAGAAGCTACCTCAATCTTTTCTTCATTTAATAAATCTCATTGCAAAACACAATGAGAGATTCATTTGCTGCTCTTCACTAAATAACTACAGTAACTTTAATCAATATGCAAATACAATTAAAAATTAAGTAGATTTTATAGCTTTATTTAATTTCTGGATAGGCCATTGATTTTAATAGGCTAAACCTTTTATTTTATTGTCAATATTTTCTAATGTTTGCTATGTATTCTATCGTTTGAAGCTTTTTGTTGTCCCATATTATTTACATCCCAACGTTGACAGATTGCTAATCAATAAATAGCTATAGTGCTATCTGTTAGTTTTAACGTCAGCTAATATTATGGAAGGGCGTAGATGTTATGGAAAATAGTAATAGTAATGTAACTACCCCCATCATTCCTTCCTCAAGCAAATGTGTAAATATTAGATCTATTCAGCAATAATGTTAATTGCATTGGCATATTTATCTGACGTTTTCCCAGCTTGCAGTAGTCGATCAAAAAGCTATTTAGTTTCTTATGACTATACACTAGCAGTGAAAGTTACTGCGATGTGACTGGTCTTGATCATAATCCAGGGGCTTGATCAAAGGTTGATCATATTGTCTTCTAAAAAAAAGAAGAGTATCTTTTTCAACAAAAAAAATGATCACAGTTACAGCCAGCATCCCACAAAAAGCACTTCGAGCCTCATTTTGTGCATTTCAAATCACAAAATCCAAAAAGCCGCACACCATATATTTTTGACTGCTTTAAATGGATACTTTTTTTTTACCCATTTTTCCATAATAAAATATTATGTTGGGTTTAGATTGAATTACTTGCCTAGGTGGGTCCTGGAATAAAAAAGTTTGGGAATCCCTGCTATGGAGGATGCAGCCTCTGAAATGAGACATAGCTATTCTCTTCCAAAGTAGGAAAAACAACTGCTATAAAAGTCAATGCTTTCCTATATTCTTAATTTAGAAAACCTTCATCATAAAAGTTTGAAACAAGTAAATGAGTAAATGATCACACAATGTTAATTTTACGGTGAACTATCCCTTTAAAACACGATGGCGCGCATCTGCAGCCTGGCGAACACAGCCTGATAATAAGTGTAGTGAATTTCCAGCTGAGCGCAAGCTGGATGTTTTTTGGGCAGGTTTGGTGTGTTCTCACAGAGGCTTTAAAAGCAGAAAGCTGAGAGTTTGTTCTCTGCATGGTGGATCTGTACGGATAATGGATTCTCCTCAGCAGTGAAACTGTATTCCGTACACAAAAGACGGAGCAACCTGAGCGAAATTCCTTGCAGACTGGGAGAGGCTTTTCTTCCCCCCTCCTTCTCGTCGTTGTTTAGGATTTGTGGCATCTCCAAAAAGACTCAAATTGAAACAATCCAAGCAACACTGTTTTCCCCACACCCACATTAAAACACACTTTCCACCGCTGTCAGACACAATGGCTCGCTTTATTTCAACGCTGGTTGCTGTGGCAACGAGAGCAACAGAGCGAATACAGTGGCTACCCAGAAGCCCCTCTGACACGACTCACGCCTCACCCCGACCGGGCGCTGACAACAAGAAACAAGCTGGAACCGAACGCAACCCGATGCAGAAGAAACACTTCATCTGATGATCATGGAGCAAAAAAATGAGCTGGAATGACGTGCGTTTACCTTCTCTCGTTGTCATCCAGGTGGGCGAACAGCACGTTCTTAGAGATGGCTTTGGCCAGGGCTGTCATCGTCTTGTAGTCCTTCGGAATGACCTATAATTGAAGATAACAATGTAGGCCAGTCAAAATTTATGCATTAAAACAGTGTTTCTCAACCAGGTTCCTGGGGGACCACCAGCTCTGCACATTTTCCATGTCTCCTTAACCAAACACACCTGATTCAGTTCATTAGCAGAGACTGATAGAACTGTAATGAATGTGACAGATAAAGGAGACATGTTGGTGGAACTCCGGGAATGTGGTTGAGAAACACTGCATTAAGGCAAATTAATTAACACTAATTTATACACTAGTTTCATTTTGGCCGAGGTTGGAAAAATATGCAGAAAATAAAGGATGCTTTATAAGCACTAATTGGAAATGATGGAGAATGAAAAAGGTACAAATGGTAAAATCATGTACATAACAATTTCTGATGGTCCTGTCAACAAGACAAAAAAAAATCGATGTTTATTCTTATTGTGAATTAACCCTGCAGGCACAGGATGTCAACATAACGTCATATTTACATTGTACCCCAACGTACCACAACAACATGGGGATGGTGGATTTTGTTTGGAAATGAAGATCAATCAAACTAATGTCTAACGTCCATCCTAAAATCAACCAAATATCAACGTCTAATCATGTTACATCTTGATGTTGTGTGGACGTTACCACTATGACATCTATCAGACATAGAATTTTGGTCACTTTCCGACACAACCTAAAATCAACCAAATATCAACGTAATTTAACGTCAATATTTGATGTCAAAATAACGTTGTCCTTAGACGCTGGTTAGACATTGAATTTTGGTCACCTCACATCATGACCTAAATCTAACCTAATATTAACATCTTATGACGTTGTGTGCCTGCTGGGAAGTTATCAACGTTAAGTTTAAAATGTCTCTTAATGGAAAATCATACAACTGATGCAGACAACTCCCTTACGCCAAAAGCAGACCACATCAAGCTGGTTTCACACCAGAGTTACAAACAAAGTAAATAAATACACAATTATAGATGAATTACATTTTAAAGGGGTACATGCATAGCTAGTGTTTTTCAGGCAATAAACTTACGGTCAAAGATTTATGTGAGTATTTTCAATTTCATAAGGTTGCTTTTACAGCATCGATGTTGTAATGTCTTTCAAATACAATCAGTTAAACAGACTGAAGCATTCATTTAGTTGTTCAAGCGTAAAATAAGATAAAAGATCATTATGATCATAGCTTTTTGAAGAAATCAGATCTTAAATGCGGCAATTTTGTAATGACGCAACAGTTCACCAGAAGCACTTTGTTTGGCTGACTGAAAATTAAAAGTCTGTGTGCACATAGCTCATTCATTTAATTCAGGCCATAGTGAAAAATGTGAAAAATATATGTAAAAAAATAGAACCCCAGAAGAAACATGTTTGTTATTTGGTCTGCATGTGGCCAAGTGCTTTATTAGGCTTCGATATAATAATTTTCATTTCAGTGCATCCCTTTATGAAGCTGAGTTATGTTCAGTTTTTTTATTTTTTTTTATGGTGTGCACTTCAGTCCCTGATGTTGTTATGCAGCTTCAAAATGCACCAACTGTTATATTAATTATATTAATTTAAAACACATTTAAAACAGATCAAATGTGCTGTTAAGTTGCAATTAATCGCAAATCATGTGATTAATCGCAATTAATTATTTAAATCAATTGACATCCCTAGCTACTTTATGACTAGCCATAAAGCAAGCCTATTACAAAATTTTTCCATAGCAATTCTGTAAAAGAATATTAAACTATTTTGTTTTTTATTTGTTAGCATTTTATTAGTTTTTTTATTATTATTTGTTTACCATTTATTTTCTTGTCAAATTGAGTGGTTCATCCGCAGAACGTCTAATCTTAAGTAGGGTTGTTAAAAGTATTGATTTCGTATTAAAATGATTTTAAAAACGTCATATTTGCTCACATTTGAGCGGTAATACAGATACATCAATGCTGTCACAGTAATTTGTAACTCTTTGATTTAGTGGAGGCAGCATGGTGGCACAGTGGTTAGTACTGTCGCCTCACATCAAGAAGGTTTCTGGTTCGAGCCTCAGTTAGGCCAGTTGGCATTTCTGTGTGGAGTTTGCATGTTCTCCCCGTGTTGGCGTGGGTTTCCACCAGGTGCTCACCATGCGCTATAGGTGAACTGAATAAACTAAATTAGTGTGTATAGGTGAAAGTGTATGGATGTTTCCCGGTACTGGGTGGGGCTGGAAGGGCATCCATTGTGTAAAAAATATGCTGGATAAATTGGCTGTTTATTCCGCTGTGGTGAACTCGGATGGATCAGGGACTAAGCCGAAGGAATATTAATGAATGAATGATTAAGTGGCTAATTAGTATGAAGTCGAATCTTATTTATACAATTTAGTATGCTTTGCTTATCCCCCAATAACAGTTGGGTTTAGGGTTAATGTTTGGAGCCATGCCTCCTTTTAAAATTTTTACATTTTTGTGCAAATTAGCCACTAAACTGACAAAACATAAACTAGTTAAGTTTCCTCATGAGATCAGGCTGGCTACACAGACACTGAAATATTGAAAGCCACGTCTATCAGTTGATCCACCTATGATATGTGAGATCTGCTGATGGATCAGCTGATAGACGCAGCTTTGAAACACTCCAGTGTCCACGTCTCTGTGTTTGCACTTGGTGAATCTCGTGTGTGAAGTGATGATTTCAGAGCCAATCACAGCTATTTCAGTTAAACATGTGAACCCAATGGCCAATCAATAATAAAAGAACTTCATTCAATCAATTTCCTTTTTGGCTTAGTCCCTTTATTAATCAGCGGTCGCCACAGCGGAATCAACCGAAAACTTATCCAGCATATGTTTTGCGGAGCAGATGCCCTTACAGCTACCTTTTTCATCACTGGGAAACATGCAAACACTCTCATTCAAACACATACTCTACGAATAATTTAGCTTACCCAATTCAGCTAGAGCGCATATTTTGGACTGTGGGGGAAACCAGAGCACCCGGAGGTAACCCACGCAAACACCACTGTGAGGCGACAGCATTACCCACTGTGCCACCGGTGATAAAATTATCAAATGATAATTATTGTGATATAATTCACCCTAAGCAAAATGACAACAATAAGATTTTTGATAAGGCTTCAATATAATGTATATATAACAATAAATATATGTTGCTCGTTCATGCCACATGCACTGTTTTATCTAGAATCTGCAGCACTACACAAGTTTTTAAAATGCATCGCTATTCTCTCTTGAATTGATTCTGAGCTCAGTTTTTAACAGCAGAAGGTGTTGTATGCTTTACAAACCACCGTACTCTGATTGCATCCGATTCCCTACAAATATCAACATAAACCTTAAACAATTATTATTTAAGTTAAGAAATGTTTAGGTGAATTACAAGAGAGGGTCCCACTTTATATTAAGTGTCCTTAACTACTATGTACTGGCATCAAAAAATAAATACAATGTACTTACTGTGTTCATAATGTATTTGAGAACACTTGTGGTGCTCTTGAGGTGGGATAGGGGTTGGGTTATGGACAGGTTTGATGGTGTGGGTAGGTTTAAGGATGGGTCAAGGTGTAGAGAATGGTCAGCAGTGTATTTACAAATGTAATTAGAGAAGTTAATTACAGTTGTAAAAACATACAGGTATTTAATTAACAATAAGTACACAATAAATACATGTATTTACACAATAAGTACATTGTAACAAACTATTAATTCCTGTGTAAGTACATATTAGTTAAGGCCACTTAATTTAAAGAGGTACCCAAGAGAGTTACTAGAATAATTTGGTATATTGTGACATGGCAGACACTTTGGCTGTTTGTACATGTAGACAACAAAGCTTGGCTTGACTCGACAATGGTTACACAATCCAAAGCGTTTCCACTTTTTCCAACCTTTCTGACGTAGCTCACGGCATCCTCCTCTGTGTAGACCTCAGCGCTGACACCACCTCTCCGGCGCCGGGCCTTCACCACAGGGTTTGGAGGAGGAGGAGACACTTCATCATCATGAGAGTCCGACTGCGAGTTGGACTTCTGTCGGGCCATGATCTGCTTGCATTCTTCCTGTGGAGAGAGGAAGTGGAGGACGCGTGTGATTAAACATCCATTTAAATGCATTCCCATCACAAAAACAAACCCAAGGCAGACACTGAGAGGTTAAAGCTACCATTAGAAGTTAGGATTATATCTAATAAAATCGAATGCGTGAAGCAGAGTGAAACCTACTGCGAGCACAGAGAGCAGACACAACAGCACTGAGATATCACTCTCTGGCAGAGCGATAGATAGAGAGAGACAGCGAAAGATTGCCCGTATGAAAGAGAGCACAACAATGAAGCTGCATGCCACAGCACAAATGATGTGTGTGTGTGTGTCAGTGTGATACAACAAGATGTGTACCAGTCAGGCAGGGTACACGCAGTCTTACTGTACACGTACTGCATGGAAGACGTGGACTGAAAAACACAGGCTAATAGTATGCAGTATTTGTAATATGCAATCTTTAGCAAATCTGAAAAGGAGCTAACATTTTTCGTACTGTACATGAATCACTGATTTAAATATTATTACTATTATTATTTTATTTACTTATTTACCCACAATTACACTTTAAAAAAGCTGTTCTTACTTAGATTTTTTTTGTCTTTTTCCCCGTACAAATATCTAAAAAAATATATAAATCAAGAAGCATTTTTTTAGACAAGCAGTAGATATACACTACCTGACAAGAGTCTTGTCGCTGATCCAAGTTTTAGGAACAACAAATAATAACTTGACTTCTAGTTGATCATTTAGTATCTGAAGTGGCGTATATGAAAGACAAAGGCCTCTAGATTATGCTAATTTTACCAAAATAAAATATGATCATGCTTTGATTTGTAAGTATTTAATTAGGACAGTAAGCTCTGACTATGCTTAGGCAAAAGTCTTGTCACTTTACAGAAATAATGTACAGTATAGAATATAAAGTCATGGAGAATGAATATATGACTCCCATGAGCTTGAAGGACTGCATCTATACATCTCTGCAATGACTCAAATCACTTTTTAATGAAGTCATCTGGAATGCCAAAGAAAGTGTTCTTGCAGGACTCCCAGAATTCACCAAGATTCATTGGATTCATCTTCAATGCCTCCTTCATCCTACTCTAGACATGCGCAATAATGTTCATGTCTGCTGACTGGGCTGGCCAATCCTGGAGCACCTTGACCTTCTTCGCTTTCTGGAACTTTGATATGGAGGCTGAAGTATGAGAAGGAGCGCTATCCTGCTAAAGAATTTGCTCTCTCCTGTGGTTTGTAATGTAATGGGCAGCACAAATGTCTTGATACCTCAGGCTGTTGATGTTGCCATCTACTCTGCATGCCCCCATACTGATTGGAACCCCAAACCATGGTTTTTTTCTTCACCAAACTTAACTGATTTCTATGAGAATCTTGGGTCAATGCGGGTTCCAATAGTTCTTCTGCAGTATTTGTGGTGATTGGGATGCGGTTCGTCAGATTATTCAGCTGAAAAAATTTCAGCATTTGTTGCTCTTACAACTGGGATCGACGACAAGACTTTTGTCAGGTAGTGTATACATTATGATTATTTACATATGTAATTTTCCAAAATTTAAAAACATTAAAGCCTCATTTAAATGAATGATTCAATTACTCGCTCAAACACTTCATGGATGAAACAACATTTTTTTGTAGAGTCTCTTGAACACATTATTCAGTAACAAATATATTTTTTTCTGACTGTTTGAAACCACCAATGGACCCTTTTCACGTTTCCAGGTTTCTTAGTAGTAGGCATGGGACGATCGGTCTCAAGGTTTACCACGGTTTAAAGAAGTTAAGGTTTTAAAACCACTAAAAATTTTTGTTATTTAGTACCGAACCTAAGGTATGTATAAGTTTTTTAAATGTGTTGTAAAGAAATCTGTGTTGTTGAAACTAATGCCTGACCTGTTTACTGTTTAAAAATATTATAAATGTTTCCTAATATAAAATATATTTTGTTCAAGAGAGGAAAATCTTTTGACATTTCAGAAGAACTTTTTATAGAGCAGTAAATATATTACCGTGAAACTAATGTTTTTATCCAAGGTTATTATGCTATCAGAACCTTATACCAGCCTATGACTACTCAGTAGCGGGAGTTGTCATAGTTGAGTAAACTCAGAGCTCAGTGTATGGGAGAGTACAACAAATCATTTTTTATTCTATCTCATTTGCTAAAATAATAATAATAATAAAAAACTCCTCAATCTTGTTTCCAAGACTTTCAAAAAAAAGGAAAAAACTGTGGTCTGTAGTCAGAATAGAGAACAACGTCAAATGTACTGCCTTGGCCATAGCCGCACATAAGTGACAATTTGTTTTTTGTAATTTGATGCAAAGATGATTTAATGATGACATACATAAATTCATATAAATGCACATATTTTTTTTTATTTAAATATTAAAAACTTTCAAGGATTTAAGATTATGATGACCATTATAAGTGTCATAATAGTCTTATGAAAAGGGTCCATTGACATTGTTTTAATGTAACTGTTATAACTTCCATTTGAAGCATCCAAAGACAAAGACCAAAAGGTCAAAGACTGAAGTTGTTTTAACCAAGAAAATTTGTTTTAAAATACTTTTTTCAATTGTCAAAATTTAATAAACCCATGCATTTTTGTACCATTTTGTCATATATTGTGAAAATAAAATATACTAAAAAAATAGAGGTGACATCTGAAAGCAGAGTTTGGTGGTCAGTTTGTGTGTAAATGTGTATGTATGACCATTTTTGTCATGCTTCTGATTTCTGATGTCTAACAATAGACAAGAAAATGGTCTGTGACAAACTCTTTATGACATTCAAGCCCCTGTGAATCTAATATCAGACTGTTAAATCCATAAATAAAACTTTACAAGATATAAAAAATAAAGTGTTTGTGACATGGCACAAAAGTCTCCTTCTGAAACATCCCAAGCCACAAATACCAAAGTGAAGGCAGGCAGATGCAAAAGAACAGCTGGGCACATGCCACACACACACACACACACACACACACACACACACACACACACACACACACACACACACACACACACACACACACACACACCCACACACACACACAGACACATACAGACACACACAGACACAAACACACACACCCACACAAAACACACATGTGCTCTCTCCATAGCTTTAGACAGCCATCAACAGGCCTGAGTGTGAAATAACATACAAAAGAGTGCAAATATACTCTGAAATCTGTCGAATAAGAGATCAATATCACACGCATGTCAAATTTAAGAGATAATTCACTTTAAAAAAAGAAAATGTTGCCATTGTTTACTTTAGGGATGCATATTATATAATTTAAGCATTGATATCGCAATGTGCACATCTGCAATAGTCACATCAATATCAAGTGTGGGTTATTGTTGACCAGGAGCTTATAGATTAATGGCAAATTTACGCATTTGATTTAAAGTTTATAATTTGCCATTTTTATTTCTGTTAAAGATATCAAGTGAGTTTAAAGCGTTCAGGCACAAGAAATGATAATGTGTAGCTAATAGTGAAGGCTTTCATTTTGCATTAGATTTTTACATATTTGTGTCCAAATGCCAATAAGACTTAGCAGAAAATGTAGCAGATAACTCCATTTTCCCTCTCGTTTACATGTTTTTCCGCTAAAACTATTGTTTAAAATAATTAATGTTGATGCACTCCACTTTAAAATCACCCCAACCATTTTGAAATAACAAGTTCTGCACAAATAGAGATATGTAATATATTACCCCAGATGGATTGAATATCACAATATATACTGCAGAAAAACTAAATGATGCAATGTGAGGGTTTTTTCAGTTTACTCTTTGTCCATTTGTTATAAACCTGTTTAAGTTTCTTTCTCCTGTTTAACTGAAAAAAGATATTTTGAAGAATGTTAAAAAATAGTGGCCATTGATCTCTATGTTTTTTTCTAACTATAGACGCCAATATCTGACAATTTCCAACATTCTTTAATATACAGTGTTTTGGAAATTTGCATGACTACTGTTTACCCTGTGAAGTCCCATTAAAAGTTTTGACAATGTTTTTAGTTCCCTTTTCTGAAATGTTTCTGTACACTACCTGACAAAACTCTTGTCGTCGATTCCGGTTGTAAGAGCAACAAATAATAACTTGACTTCTAGTTGATCATTTGGACAACTTGCAGAAGGTCGATTTTTTAGCTGAATCATCTTTTGAACTACGTTTCAATCATCACAAATACTGCAGAAGACCTACTGGAACCTGCATGGACGCAAAGATAAATCATAGTTTGGGGTAACATTCAGTATGGGGGTGTGCGAGAGATCAGCAGTGCATGGCAACATCAACAGCCTGAGGTATCAAGACATTTGTGCTGCCCATTACATTACAAACCACAGGAGAGGGCAAATTCTTCAGCAGGATAGCGCTCCTTCTCATACTTCAGCCTCCACATCAAAGATCCTGAAAGCAAAGAAGGTCAAGGTGCTCCAGCATTGGCCAGCCCAGTTACCAGATATGAAAATTATTGAGCATGTCTAGGATAAGATGAATGAGAAGGCATTTAAGATGAATCCAAAGAATCTTGATGAACTCTGGGAGTCCTGCAAGAATGCTTTCTTTGCCATTCCAGATGACTTTATTAATTAGTCATTTGAGTCATTGCAAGCTCATGGGAGTCATTCAAAGTATTCATTTTTTTTCCACTGCACCATGACGTTGTATTCTATAGTGTACATTATTTCTGTTACGTGACAAGACATTTGTTTAAGCAAAGTCAGAGCTTACTGTCCTAATTATATAATTAAAAATCAAGGCATGATCATATTTTATTCTGGCAAAATAAGCGTAATCTAGAGGCATTTGCCTTTCATATAAGCCACTTCTGATAACAAATGATCAACTAGAAAAAAATTATTATTTTTATAATACTATTTGTTGTCCTTAAAACTTGGATAGGCAACAAGACTTTTGTCAGGTAGTGTATATGGAGGATGAGAGAGCTCCTGAATTTCATCTAAAATATCCTAAT